TGAGCTCTAAAGAGCCCCTCGCTAGAGAGTACTTGGCCTACTTTTCCACACTGGCCAGACTTCTTGGAAGTGGATTGGAGCACCCACATTTTGCCCCACCGCACGTAACCTACTCATCGACGAACCGAGGCAGAAGGCATTGAGAAACCTGTCCCATTGTTTCAAATGCCGCGCCGGGAGATCGAATCGGCGACCTCTGGATTGCAAGTCCAGTAGCCTGAGCATTACACCACGGACAGCAATCATCGCATTGTGCAAGCAACGAACACAATCAAGTCCTCTCCCCTCTCCCACAACCACGTGACTTTTCTTTTGTATTGTGCGCGGTGCTTTCAGCACCACAGCGCGTGGATTTGTAACGATTTGTAACGTTTGTTTTCTATTGTTTACTGGTGACTTTGTGTATTTCATATTGAAATCGCCTGCAGTGCTTTTGCTGCTGGCGGCAATAAAAGTTGTTTAAAACTCAAAAAAGTCTCCCCTCCCCCTGCCCTCACCTCATCTGGAAGAGCAACCTGGTTGCATAACCTGATTTATCGGCGAGAAAGTGGCACTTTCCCTAATAAAGTAAGGTTTGCTCGATGTAGCACAGATTTAATCCGGTCCCCCTTGCCCACTGGGAACCGAGTGGTTTTAAACATCATTTTCTTAGAATTTATAAAAACAAAAAAAAAACTCCGATTAATTTGTTCAAAAAGTCTGCTGGCATTGGGGCAGCTGTGCTCAACAGAAACCAAAATGTTTACCGTGCCAGAGGCTTTTGCAACGTCGGCTTTCACTCTTGCATAGAGTGGAGGTTGGGTCATTCGCCAGCCCGGACACAGACCTGACCAGTCAGTGCTCTTCCTGGCCAGAGCCATGGCCAGCGAGCACGGGCTGCTTTGGATCAACAAGCTGCAAGCGGGGCTTGTTATTGGAATATTAATGACAAGAGACCTCTGTTATTTTCTACATGAGCAGTGCAGTCTTCCTGCCAACTTGTGTGGCAAATGTCTTTTTTTTTTCATTTTTATTACACCGGTTTTTTTTGTTACCTAAATATTAAAGTGAATGACTGTATTTTGGTAATTGCATTCAATTCTTAGTGATAATGACATTGGTTGTAATGTCGTGGTTCATCCCTCGGGCTTTTAGAGGCAGGGTTCCACGTGCTTGACCGGGGGAAAATTGGTGTGAGTTTAGTCTCTCAAGTGACCAGATTCAGGGCCTGAAGTGGAGATGAGTCATCAATGACTGCTACCCCGAAGACCCATATCACATTTGTAGTTTCACTTATTTTGTCTACCTTACAGCTCCGAGACTTAAAACAAACACGCATTGCAGGGTATATACAAAGTGTCCCCATAGTGTGAATTTGAAAAAAATCTATTGACATTATTTTAGAAGTCGTTACCTTCTGCGGCCGTTCTCTGAAGCTCCGGACATTTAGTTATTATTCTCAGACATAACGCCAATTGCATGAATGGTTAAGTTACAGGTCCTGCAATTTGCTTCCTCATGTCAATGCTGACAGAAGGGTTTCTACTACGATGGAGCTTCAGAGAGCCCCTCTGGAGGGTGTTTTGGCCTACTCTTCCATCCTGGCCAGATGTCTTTGTAAGAGGTGGGAACTTTCCTGCCCCACACGAGACCTGCCCGTTGACTCGATGCGTACCCAGGCGGGGTAGTGAAAGAACTTGCCCCATTGTTTCAAATGGTCGCATCAGGAGATTGCAAATCATGTGTGTGTGTCAACCATTGCACCGTGGCAGCAACCTAACATTATTGGAATATACAATAATTATGGCTGGGGGGAGGGGGGGGAATTAAAGACACCATTACAACTGTCAAGGTCACAAGGTGCCTGTAAACAAAACCCATAATTAAAAATGTTTGTTTTCATAAAATGTTAACATGCGAGCGAGTATGTGCGTCGGTTATGCTGCTTGCTCTGAAGTTTTGAAATGGGGAAGATAATGTTCAAAAACAACTACTTGAATTTATGCCCTTTTAATGTGGCTAATCGCGATAAATGCGCTGTTTATGTTTTGCAACGGGCTTCATTTCCGCGCAACGCAGGAGAGAAATTGTATGAAATGACATGCACTGTATGAAATGACATGCACTGTATGAAATGCCTGACTAAAGTAAACACTGGGAAATGGTTCGCTTCAAAGCAGCGAGTGTTTGCCGAGCACGTCACGGCCACGACCTTGCCATCGCTTTGACCTCCGAGTGACCTTTCTTGACTGTCGAAGATGAAATTTCATCTTGTCCGTGTCTTCTGTACGTCGCCCGTTTGTCGGCTGTCTCTCTCCGTCGGTCTCTCCTCTGGCGAGGCGCAGGAATTAGCACACAGCAAAAAAAACTTGGCATTGGCAAAGATTGTATTTCGTCTAGACAGGTTATTAGCAGAGCCTGGAAGGCCGAGCTGTTCCGGTTTTGGCAGAGAGACGGATTATCTCCCAGTGCATAGGAAATCGTGCCATTAAATATATAAAAAAGACAAACCCCATCTATAAATGCAGCCCTAAGTAAATAATTCGTTGATGTCTGATAGGGTGGAAGATTAATATAAAACTTGCCTATATTTCAGAGGCGACTTAGCATTCAAAAATGCAACCAAAGTGAAATTAGTTTCACTCTACCGGTCAAAGAAAGTTGTATTGTTGTGTACGTGCTCATCTCCTGTGTACAGCCGTGAACCAGCATGGAATTCCCACATGCATATGGCGGGGGCCAGATCAGTACACGAGATAACCTTGACATGTTTTCAAGAAAGCCGGTACTCGTTTTATAAACTGCGCGGCTGGGTTGACTCTTGACCTGGATTTGAATTGACCTAGGATTTGACTTGACCAGGATTTTAATGAGCTATTTAAATTTATTGCGATACAAAAGTCGCCGGTTTGATATCCTGGCGGGACAGTTGAAGCAATGGGGGGAAAATATCATCAATCCCCCCCCCCCTCCCAGGGTCTACGCAGCAGTGTAAACGCGTACACCATCGTTAGTTAGTCGACAAGTGACACGTGGTGTGGTGGGATAAAATGTGGGTACGCTGACCGCTTCCAAGATATGATTGCTTGTATTGCAATCGAAACGTCGTATGCTATTATTTAATTTATTATTTTATCTTTATACGTGACTTTACCGAAAGAACCAAAGAATAATTCCTGCAGTCACGAAAGCTCCAAAATTAAGATTGGCGTGGAAGAGTAGGCCAAAATATCCTTTTAGAGGTGCTCAGTTAGACCTTCCGTCACTGCCAGCAGTGACTGAAGAATGAAACTGCAGGGCGGCACTTTAGAATGAGCCACTTTTAAGTTATCAGGAGCGCTCTTAACCTCGGTGCAGCCAGTATGAGCTACCAATGTGAACATTCGGAAAATGTTTACACGGTTTATACAAATTTGTGCTGTGCGGGGAGGGTTTCCAACTGTCTGGGTTTGACCTAGGACAGTCAGCAAATGTGACATCTGTGTTGGGAGTGGAGGGAGGGGGAGGACGCAGGATTTGATTTGTTCCGAAATCTGTCAGTGGTATTGTGTTGAACTTCATCGTGGTGTGCTGCGCAGTTTTGACAATCGACCTCGCGCCGTGACTGGTAGTGATGATAATAATAAGCCCGGGGTTTGTCCCGCAGACAAGGTGATGGGGCCTCGTTTCGTGGGCGAGCTCGCGGAACGCGCAATGGAGCAGTGCCCTGCAACTCGCACTGTGCTTGGCGAATGCAGAGGCAGCGGGGGGTGGGGGGCAAGAGGGAATGCTTTACGCAGCCCCCCCCCCCCCATGTTGTGGACCTTCGCTCGCCCAATCTTTCTTCGCCCCGTTTTTTTTTTGGGGGGGAGGGCAGCAGGGGACGTTAAAAAACACGCGAACAAGGTGGGAGTCAAAAGAGGCCTCCCGTGGCCAAGGGATTTATTTCATAACTGCAGCAATTTAATCCACTTAGCTTCGTGTTGGCGTGGAAGGTTTAGGGCGACGGCTTGAGCCGACAATGGGTTGTACTTTACGGAGCACGGTGTACAAATTGTGCCACCCCGTGTGCGCACTGTGGCTCCGTGTTTGTTCACTGATTGAAAATCGAAACTAATCGCTCAAGAGTGCATAAGTACTAATCGGGGGTTTAGCTTTGGCCGATTTTAAAACGTGTGGAGAGATACACGCGCACCGAATGGCACGTACAACCATCTCTATCGTTTCATGCAAGTTTACTGAGCACGCAAACGATCCGCTTCGTGTTATATTTGGGACAAAAAATGTATAAGCCAGACAGAAAAATGCGAGAATCAATTCAAAGAGAGATTGAAAAAAAACAAGACGAGTATTAATTTACTCTTGAGTCGAATCTCTGGGGGAGGTGGAAAATAATTTGCACTCCTCATGGCCAACAAATTTATATTTCCACAATAAAGTCCATGCTTTAATTCCGTTATGTAACAAAACAAATAAGCAGACAACATGTCTCCTTGATAAAATATATATTTAGTTTGCACGCGGCTCCAATTTACTTGGCTCAGTCGGAGTTAGCCACCGAGGGCGCGACAGATTTCCCTTTTCTCATTCATCTTGCTCTGATGCCGACTTTCTTGAGGGCGACATTGCCACAGAAAATTGAGATTGATTGAATGATATCTGTCTCTCGACCTAGAAAATAAATCGGTTTTTTTTAACACAGCCCATCAGCCCCAAGGCCTTCTGGGAGTGAATAATGCTAGCAGCATTGCAGCAGCATTCTATCTATTTCATTATTTATATTCTACACACCGAGAAGAATTATTACGTAAGATATATTGCCGCGTAGGATCTATTGCTGCGTCTGATCTAATTGTTGTCTAGCACGAATTATTTGGTGGTGCTGCGTTGGCACTGGTGCACGAGCACAAGAAACTAAACAAATGTGTCAATAACATTACCTAAAGTATATATTATAAAAACGGTGACTTTGCATGCAACATTGTTTGAGATCTTTCGTGAAAGATCATCTTAATAGCAAGGGTAAAAGTTTTCGTTCAAGTTTTATCCATATGAAAAAATTCACACGGCGTGGTGTTTTTTTGTTGTCGTCGTAAAATGTGCCTCAGAGTTGAAGAGGTTATGAGAAATAACGAGAAGTAATTTCGTGACAAAGCCTGAACGTTTATGCGACCGTTGTTTTGGCAACTCAGCCAGGATGGAATTCAGACTTCAAAGTCCTGGGCCCTGTGTAATGTGGTCGGGGTAGTCTCTTGTTTTGGCCATCAAGCTATGCATGTGGCCCACGCCACCCGTATACTGACAGTGGATTGTACTTGGCAGCGTTTTAAAAAAAAGGAGCATGGATCTGTTACGAATCGCATTTCTTGACTTTTGGAGTCGAACGCGGGGGGAAGAACTTGAATAAGGCAGCAGTAGTTTAAGTTAACAGCTGTTTTTATTAAACAGGCTCTCGCTCAGCAGACAAGGGCAGGCAACTTGGACCATATGCAAGAATGGGGTGGAAAGAAAATCACATGCACACGCGTAGGCTAAGGTCCCCCGTACAAACTTAACAGACTGTAGGGGCAAGTGCTGTTAGCGAGCACCATAGAAGGCCGGCACGGCACTCAAGGAGGTGGGTGGCCGGGACCACGCCCGGCCGCCTTTATCACCACAGTGGCGATGTTTACACAGCGCACAGGGACTCATTTGAGGCCGAGTCGACCTAGGGGAGGCCCAGGACCGGTTCAGATAATCGTCACCGGTGTTGGCCGTGAGCGGGAATCGAACTTGGGTGGCCGGGTTCATAGGACGGCGCGCCACCGCTCCCCACCCACGCACGCACACACACGCACGCACGCACACGCACGCACGCACACACACGCACGCACGCACGCGCGCACCCGAACATACGCGCACCCACAATGAAAACTTTTTAAAAGGAAGCATTGGCGAGCGGCGCGCAAAAAAAAACGTACAAAAGCATACACAGAGACCCTCGAGACAAACACAGGCCGATTCAGGAGCTCACAAAGTACACACGGAAAGAGTGATAGGTGATTTTGAGAGGGGGGGAAAAACGAAATACTGTACGAGGATTTCGTGTTGCTATAGAACCATACCGTACAAAATCTATACAAAAACATGTGTTTAGAAAAAAAAACTCTCTCTCGAAATATTTTACAGAAGAATTATTAGAATATGCAACGAAACAAAAACGTGCTTGCTTTTTTTTTCCTTCAAAAATCCACAACGGATCGTCGTCTTGTGAAAAGAACACCCTCACTCGGGCCATGATTTATAAATAACACACTGTCCTTTAAAAAAAAAAACATTTAGACAAGGAGTAGCAGAAGAGCACACACAATGCACAGAAACTTGCTTCAAGCATCCGTACCTCACAAAAGTGCAATGTGTATAGTTTATATTCAATAACAAAAAACATTTTATTGGGTGTACACAACCAACCAATTATTGATCAATTTTCCCTCTCCCCAACCCCCCCCCCCCCTCCCCCCATATTAAAATGGCCAAATTCAACTTTTTGCCTCCCGCCCCCACAGCCTCACAGGCATTTTAGATTACCTGCGGAAAGTCTGCTATATATATGCCGGATTCCTTGACGTTTGTATGATCGTTAAGGCAACCTTACCAGCTTACCAATACAAACTTGCTTGTGCGCGTAAAATAGAAACTGCGCACACGATGGGCAACACCAAGCCAATAGCAGAGTCCCCGCATTTGGTACGAGAGCTCTACAATCTACTTTGACTTCCTTAGCCTCCCTAAAAAGGCCGGGGGTTTGTACCAATATTGCATAAGCTCATGCTATAGCGCACTGCTCTCCATAAAAGGGAGCAAAAAAGTCAGATTATTGTTTAGAACATGTGCTTGCACTTACTGCTCGAAGCTGTATGTAAACTAACCAAAAATAGCACGTGCTTGAAACGTAACACTGCACGACAAAATGTTTCCGAAACGAAATCAGATCATCTGTGCGTCAATATTTTGTATCCATGAAAAGTTCACTATTTTGGCACTATTTTATTAAATTAAGTTACACGCACGCATTGCAATGAACGTAGGATCATATCCGTACGTACTTTCTCAAAATCTGGACGCTTTAAATTTCCATTTAAAGCTTTCGTGACTGCAGGGATTCATCTTCTTGGTTCTTTCGGTAAAGTCACGTAGAAGGGAAATAATAAAATAATTAAAATAAAACATAATAAAATAAAATTCTCACGACGTTTCGGAAAGACAGCGTCCGAATGTCCGGACGCTGTCTTTCCGACAGCCCTGTTCTTCACCTGAGAACGGCTGCTTGCGTTGAGGCCGAAACGTCGTGAGAATTGTATTTTATTCTGTTATATTTTTATTATTTTATTATTTCCCTTCTACGTGACTTTACCGAAAGAACCAAGAAGATGAATCTGGACGCTGTTTGCCACCCACAATGAACTTTGCCAACAACTGAGATACTCGCAAAGGGAGTAAAATCCTAGAATGTTTGGCTAATGATCTTGCGATGGCCATGGGTTCTTTCTTCGATGCTGTAAACTCACCCTGCACTTGTGTGCACGCACTCAGCTTTTAAACTCGAAGCACCAGTGTGTCGATGCTTCAGGTAAACCTACTAAAGAATGCCCCATAAGTGTTCCCTAACATTGGCCTGTGCAACATTTAAACTGTCACGGTTTCCTCAATCGAGTGATTGCGTCTGATTTAAATCGCATGAGGAGACAGCCAATATAAGCATCGTAAAGGTCAGAGATGGAGTAATGGAAAGTAATTTTTTTCGGGTTTTCATCAAAACTATATACACCAGTCCTATGTTTAACATCAGAACAAACTTTTCAACAAATCCAACCCAAAGGTTTGAACACCATAATGCCAAAAACTTCCTTATATGACAAGAAGTACAACATCCTTTCTTCCTGCTCTCAGCACAAAGCCACGGACGTGACCTCTTCAGCGTAGCCGACGAGCAATCGTCCCAGCTTCGGAAATTCCTTTGTACAAAAAAGTGGCACTGGGCCGAGTCTCATCGCGTGCAGTCTCTCCTCGTACGGCCAACCTCAGAACGACGATCCCATCTTGCCTTTGGAGGTGAGCGCCTGCTTAAAGCGCCTTTTGAGGTCCTGCATGTTTGGCGACTTTGGCCGCGGGATGACGAGGCTGGCTTTCCTCTTCTCGCCGCCGGTACCGCCGCCGCCGCCGCCGTTACGGGCCCCGTTCCCGGCCGCCTGCGCCTTGCACACCTCGCGGAAGAGTCCCAGGAAGGCATCGGCGACGCCGTGGCAGCTGTCGGCGGCCGAGGCCTCTCGGTAGAACGCGCAGCCCAGCTCGTTGGCGAGGTGCCAGCCCTCCGACGCGTCTACCTGACGGGCGTGCAGGAGGTCCGTCTTGTTGCCCACCACGGCCACGACGGGGCCCTGCGGGAGGCCCGCGCCGGGCGAGGGGGCCACGGCGGCGGGCTGGCCCCGTGCGTGGCAGATGCACTCGTAGAGGCGGCGGATGTGGCGGAAGCTCTGGCGGTCCGTGACGGAGAAGGCGAGCACGAACGCGTCGGCCCACAGGAAGGAGCGCGACACGACCTCGTGGCAGCAGAGCGTGTCGCCGATGACCTGCGCGTTGGGGGGCAGGGGGCGGGGGGGGGTGAACGCAGGGGCCACGTAAACACCGAGGTCTCGAGCTCCCCCTCCCCCTACCAGGCACAAACAGGAGAGCCGATGTGGTGGTGCGAACGTCCGTTAAGTTTAATGAGAGCCCAACGGATAACCCCCGCGTGTATTTCGTGCACTGTGTGCGGTGTTGCCGTGACTATGCTAACGGGTGGATACCTATTGAAGGAAAAAGGAGCAGAGGAAAGCAGCAAAAGAGATGGAAGCAGCGAGACAAAGTCTTAGAATTCGGAGGCCACTATTGAACACGAATAACATTGAGGAAAGGAAGGAATCGGAGGAAATGAGTGAGGCTTTTTCCCAGCCAGTGGGAAGACACAGGCTCGCAACAACAATGAAAAGAACGTGCAGTGTCATCCTGCAGTGGTCAAGCTATCGGCAGTGCAGCCTGCACCCATGAGCCTGACAGCGGCTCCAGGTGCAGGACTACAAAGTGGGCCTAAAAAGCTCGCACGGTTGGCTACGTCGGGTGCAAAACAGGTTCAACATTCCATAATAGAGATGTTTAGGGTTAGATTTCGTAAATTTAAATGCGTCGTTAAACCAGCCATCACCTGATAGCCAACAAGTAAAGGTTTGTCACGTATAACAGAACATGCCAATTTGTTACTAGTATAGCACACCAGTATGTTGGAGATTAAAACCACAACATGGATTACGAATTGGAAACCTTACTGGTTGGCTGTGTCGGGTGGTGGCGGGTTTAACGACACATTTATATTCACTCCATCTAAACCACAATCCTCTTATGGATAATATTGGTCGCGAAAGCCGTCGTGTTAAACTAACTTCAACATACGTATGTACATTATACAGCGGCCCAACTGAATTGCTTGCACGAGGGCCCATGCTAACCAGCATATGCTACTGCCATGCTGCCCATGATTTGCTCATTAGGGTATTGAAATTTGTTCATCGTAGTTTTTGTGTTTGGAATAAACACCATCGCTGCACATGGCAGACAAGCTGGGGCCCACCGCATTTGAGCAAGTGAGATATTTAAACCACAGCAAAGGACAGCACAGCGTACTTTCCAACCCAATCCATATAGGATTTTATAGGCAGTCGGCTGTTGTGCTTTGAACCCATTTTGCCGCCGACAATAAAACAAATGCATATTTAATTGATTCAATTATTATTTTAATGATTATATTTGAGAATCGGCGTGTGGAAAATGGATGGGGGGGGGTGGGGGTGTGTAAATATCTGCAGCCTACCGCTAAAATGGATAGGTTTCGATTTAAAGCTTTCGTGACTGCAGGGATTCATCTTCTTGTTTTTTTCGGTAAAGTCACGTAGAAGGGAAGTAATAAAATAATAAAAATAAAACATAATAAAATAATTCTCACGACGTTTCGGCCACAACGCAAGCAGCCGACTTCAGGTGAAGAATGAAGACGGCTGCTTGCGTTGTAGCCGAAACGTCGTGAGAATTATTTTATTATGTTATGTTTTTTATTTTATTACTTCCCTTCTACGTGACTTTACCGAAAAAACCAAGAAGAAAAATGGATAGGGTTGGGAAGTCTGTCGTGGTCATCGTGAGTCTGAAAATTCCTCACCGCCACAATAAGCTTGCCGGTCGCCTTCGACTGGCAACGATTACAATATCTTTGCCGTAGTCACAACATCCTGCTTGCTAAGACACGAGCACGCTGCTGCACCCTCAGCTTGCTGCCACGAGCGTTTTTCCCCGGCGTGTATTTCTTCCACAAATACACATCGATATTGGTTTATCGTAGTTTTACGATGGGAATAAACACCGTAGATGCACAGACGTCAACAAGACGGGGGGGTGCAATATATCCGGTACAATGAACGGCTGACTGACTGCCTCATCGTTCCAGAACATCGGCTTCGTCTACGCTTTACTGGACGTATTTTTTGTTATATATGAGCGTTGCAGGACATACGGTAATGTTACGACCTGAATATGTACAGCTGGTGCATTGAGCCATCGTCGCTGCGTTATACGAGCACCGTACGATGTTCGCACGGTTTCGACGTCACCGAACCAAAAAAAAAGCAGGCACTGCCTACGAAATCCCATCCCACCCCCCCACCATTTTCCTACCACATTTGGCGAGCGGCAGGCTCCCACTGCGTCCTTGCCGTTGCGTAAGAAGCTAGGCCCCGACATTTATCAACGTCGCTCTACATCCCATCGCGTTTACCTTCGGAGCCTCAACCCAGATCTGTGCACAATGCGCCCCATTCACGCGCTGCGACCGGGGCCACGGCGGTTAAAATCTGATGATGGTTACAAACTGAGTAATCATTGGAAAGATGTGATTAACCATGCAAAAAATATTTAACTACACTTATTTGGACCATCTTATTTGACAGACAACTATTACAGGTTATTGATAGACAGCCAGGCTTGTTTTACCATGTTTAGTTGTTTCTTTTTTTCACACTATTGTTATGTAGGCCAGGCTTAGTCACAAACCGTACCTCTCCATAACAAAGGCTCAGCCTCTTAAGCCTCACCTTACCAAATTAATAAAAAGTGTGCCGTACTTGGCCCTTCCCCTCTCCAACCATTATATATACGGAGTGGTAGCTCTTGTAATCTCTCATTTACTTGATACAGCTGTCGTGGCTGTGACGGTTCCACCTGAAGACGGACGCTTGTGTTGCCTCCGAAACGTCGTGATTTTTTATTTTTTTTTACTTTTATTAATTTTAATGTTTTACCTACGTGACTTTACCGAAAAAACCTAAGAATATGGTTAAAATCTGGTTGACCGTGCCGTGCGCCCAGCTCTGAGCAACTCTATTGGAACCCCGCTGTGTGCCCTTGTCACCCGGTGTCCAGTTACTCCTTCAGTAACAGTGAGCAGGCCTACGGACAAATCGTCCGGAACGCCGCCCCATCTCGTCGAATTTCAGAAGCTGAGCAGCGTGGGTTGCGGCTGGCGATTTTACTTGGATGGGTGACAGCCATGGACACACACGTTGCAATTGAGCTGCAGCGCTGTGAATTGGGCAGCATAGGGCGGTGCAAAAAGAAAACTGTTGTACTGTATGTCTATGTTCCCGTGTCTATGCTACCCCCACCTCCGCTAACCCGCGCTGTGCGATATGTTGAAGTATGGTCGGATGATCCCCATAGCCGGCATGGTGCGGTGAGAACCTAATCCAAAAGTGGATTGACAAAAGGGCTAAACAAGAGTGGCTGGTATTATAAGAGAGAAGTGTTGTTGAGGTCACAATGCCACATCTTAATGAAGCACTTCATAAACATTGTGTGTCTGTTATTAAATGAATGCCTGCCTCTATGCCTGTGCTCACTCCTTTGATTCGCGCCAACAAAAACACCTCCCGATGTTTTGCTGGTTTTCAAATTAATTTGCATGCAAAATTAATTTCCTTTTTGGGTGTCAGAAGAGCACTAGGCCTGCCAATGAAAAAAATTGTGGTTTCAAATCATAACCTACTGAAATACTGCTGCCTGTCACAGGAACGTGGAGTTTTCAGAATGGAATAGAAGGGGGCAGTGTCCAAGTTTCATTTCCACGTTTGGGCACGGGGCACATGTTTACTTTTTTCTTCTTTCAGAAACTGCTGAGCACGATATAAAATGTACTTTACAGGAAGGTGTGTATGGCTTGGATGGCAGCCCTATAAATATGCTGGCCCAGTGTGCGATGTTCTGTAAAAGAGGGGGTTGGGCTGAGGGGGGGGGCCTCACCGGCCCGAGGCTGTGCACAGCTAAAGTATTGTCCAACCCAACAACGCGCTTTGTTTCTGTTGCAAGTTAAGCCGCCGCTGCATTGCGGCGTTGGCCGCGGTCAAACAGAGCCCTTCTTTGTTGCCGACGCAGCAGCCGGTCCCGTCTGTCCGCAGCCAGGTGTGCGGGACTTTCTGCCGGAGGTTAAAGTCAGAATTTGCAATCTGCGCATAAATAAATGGGCTCTCTGTAAGAGGCCATTAACGCTTGCCAATCGTATCAACTTAGCGGGGGGGGAGGGTGGGGAAATGTCCTAAATTGCTGCCCATAACAAACTTTTCAAACGGGACCTACTGCGCAGATTTCCGCGGTCGTGCTGCGCGGATCTCTCCGGCGTGTCGGTTGGGGGTCACGTGCCGCGTGTCGGTTGGGGGTCACGTGCCGCGTGTTGGTTGGAGGTCACGTGCCACGTGACGGTTGGGGGTCACGTGCCGCGTGTTGGTTGGGGGTCACGTGCCGCGTGACGGTTGGGGGTCACGTGCCGCGTGACGGTCTGCGGGACGCCCGACGTTTTTTGCCCCGACCTCGATTCGGTTCGCAAAGAAGCTGTCGCGCCGGGGAGCGTCTTTGAGGACGAGATTTGGGAGCGAACCGTCGGACGTCGCGCCGAAACAACACGCACTACCAACCCTGAAATACGTCGGAGAGTTGTTTTTCCTTTTTAAAGGGGTCAGCAACCTGCGGACCCGGAGTCGCGTGCACCTCTTTAAGGACTGCTTAGTGACCATCATCTATTCATGACCACCATCTCGTAGTCACTACGGGCATCGCGGCTCTTGAAATATATATTTTTTTTTTACCAAATTCGACAAAAAATGGCTCTTATTGTTATTGTGGTCGACGCCTCTTGCTATATACGATGACACTGAAATTGTCCGGGATGCGTGTTCGTGTCCGTACCTGGACTCCAGGTGTGTCCTGCATCTGCAGCAGAAGCTGCTCTCCATCCACCTGTACGTGCCTTGTGTAAAGGTTACCTTTGGGAGTGAACGACAAAAGCGGCCGATGAGCATCTCTGTACCTGTGTCAATCGCCACACAGCCAGACATTTATCTCAAAATGTATTCAGTAACGGAGTAAAATTTATCAATAGGTTCTGGAAGACGTCGTTAAACATGCATCGATCCATTGTGAAATGAAAATAAAGTGAGAGTTTGCGTTTAGCCGCTGCGACGCTTTTTTGTGACTTGTTGTACGTGTTGGATCTTGAATGCTGGTTTTTGAATTGTGAATGTGTACAAGAGCACATGTGTTATTCCGTAGCTTTGTGACCTGGGTCTCCCCTGAAATTCGAACTTTTGTTCTCGGTGAGCTCTAACCTGGTTAAATAAAGATTTGATGATCATGCCGTGGATAGAGTGTGACTAATGATGATGAATTCTTGCACATTAATCTCTGCTGTCAGGCCCAGCATGTAAATAAGTGGCCTTAAACAGTCGTACGCTATCACCGAGCGACGATACCGATGCTGCGACGAGAATGGCAAGAATGCTGTGGTAAGCATCATTGGGGTAAGTCGACAAACTCTCTGACTCTTGCAGCCGCGAAAGTAAAGGCCAGGCCTGAGGAGCCTGCATCAGTTGGTCAGGTCCTCCTATGTCCATTCTGCCACTGTCTAGCCCAACGATGTTGTCACCATTGGGCTATCGACTTCATAGGTGCTCGCTAACAGCACTTGCCCCTACAGTCTGTTAAGGCCATACGGGGGATCTTTGTCTTTGAAGGCCATTGACGATCGGGCTGAGACCACCAACTCGCCTGTTGAATCACAGGCGTGCGGATCACCGCTATGCTCTGACGTGTCACGTCACGTGACGGTTGTTTCAGGTCAACTGCCCCCGGTGCATTTCTGCGCGAACTTTTTAGCGTCAGGGTGGCGCGGCGTTGCGTTCTCAAACTCACCGGTGTTGGCTTCATAGTCCCCGATAAAACGCTTGGTCAGGAACCTCACCACCAACGCTGCGGGAGAGACAGCGCAAGCGAGGGGCACACGTCAGGAGGGCGCCGGACGCGCATCGCAAGCGCCTGCACGAGAGTCGGAGCTTGATCCAAGCACAGCCGCTCGCAAGGCGGCACAGCTGCGCCTACCGCCGCGTCCTCCGCGTTCCTCTCCCCTCTCTGACTTGTGCCCTGACTTGCGTCGGCGATCCGGCGCACGAACTTTGCGTGCGTCTCAGATCGGAGTTATCATCATCGTCATTATCGTTATCGCCCCGTTGCAGATAAAACGATAAAACACGCAGACTTATTTTTCTGCTTCTTTTGCTCGCACTGCTTGACTTTTGACATTCGCCTCCCGTCGTCTCTCCGTGTTCCTTCCCCGCGCCCGCTCTGCCACGGGGAGAGTTGCAAGTCGGCATGGCCTTGCTCAATTTAAAGACACTTATTCACCGCTCATCTCATGCACTCCCCGGTAGTGCTGTTTGTTGCTGGCTGCTGGGGCATTATGGGTAATTTGGGTACTGTGATCAGCAACTGTTAAGAAAAATAAAAGTTGCCGATTTCTAAAATGTAAGTGTGCTTGTATCAGAATTTGTATCGGAATTTGCTTATAGACGTTGCTATCAGAACTGTGCTTACATCCTTATTGTCATGTAGAATGGAAGGAACTTGCGTTTGCTCACTTAGTGTCAGATACTCGCTAATTAACCGGTTGATCAATGTATAGATAACCGGTTTCCTCCAGTGTAAATACATATCCTGATTCTGATTCCAACAGAGCCATAAAAGTAGTGAATAATTTTTTTAGGTCTAAAAACCTCTGTGTGTCTCCAACCACACTCAATAAACGTTAAATAGTCTAACACCACTCTCCCCATCTATAAGATGCGGGAGCCATCGCTTTCACAATCGGCTGTTGAGTATGCATGCATGCATGCAAGTGGGTTGAACTTCTTTCGCACCGTACGTAGCCAACCGTGCTAATCTTAGAAGCGAGAATCAAATAAGAGATGGTTCTTTAGAAATCCGTGGGCGTATCTCTACGTGGATCACCTTGTATTAGTATTATTATTCATGAGTATAATAATAGGGTTTCTCCCCTTTTTTCTGGCAACAAAATTGAAACTTTTTTACAAGGATTCATGTCTGCATTACCCACAATACTTGCAGTCGAAATGCAATCAAAAACACACTATGATAATATATGCATTGTCCTTGAAACTGATTGGTCCACACCAATTTCGACTGCAAGTATTGTGGTTAATCCTTGTAAAAAGGTTTCAATTTTGTTTGCCAGAAAAAAGGGGTAAAGTTATTCTTAGTTTTTTTCGGTAAAGTCACGTATAAAAGAATAATTCCTGCAGTCACGAAAGCTCCAAAATTAAGATTAAAAGGGGTAAAACCCAATTATTATATTTTGGTACTGGCAAAGGAGGTCTAATGATGTATTCATGAGTAGTTGGATGTGTGGGAAGACGTTTTGAAGGTGTGTGGGTGGGGCTGTGGGGGCGAGTGGTGGTGGGGGGATAAGCAGCTGTGATGGAACAAGAACTATGCAGAGTCAAGGGGGCCCGTGAAGATAATTGAAGGAGGCGGTGAGTGGGAGGAGGCATGGCATATGGTTTGTATACCCTGTCAAAATTATGGGGGGGGGGGGGGGGGGTGGGGACAATTGCTCTAGTTGGTGGGATACATGCCATGAGAGACCCTAAAGATCGCAAAATGATGGAAAGCATCAAGCGTCAGTGATGAAAACGACTCTGAAGACACAACCGCTCCATGTGACTGAATCGCTCGGAACGCCGTCGCGGCCACGTCACGCGTCAGAAGCGAAGCTAAGCCGGGCTGGGCCTGGGAAGTGCTCGTACAGGCGACCGCCGCCGTGCGTGCAACAGGCGTGATGGGCCGCGGGGATACTTTGGCAGCAAAAGGCGAGTGCAGAAAAATAAATGTCCGTACGGTACTATGCACCCCATTCACACGTCTGTGCTGTCTGCCCTTCACCAGTGAAATATCCCTCACGACCGGCATGATGCGAGGAGGCCCTCATCCAGTGGTGGATTCAACAAAAGGGCTGTAAAAGTGCACACCTGCATCCCCTCGCCCCCCACACAGACACAGGTGATTTGTGCATTCACGTTTTTATAACAACGTTTATCACCGTGCGCTGGCGTTATGACCTCAGGTCTCTCAAATCGCATTCTCTGGAGAGGTTGACCTGGTTAGGCAGCTCACGCTGAGGTCAATGTCACGTGACCAAAGTTCGATACATTAAAGAAGAGGAGGGGGAAAAAATGGAAATATATTTCAATTGCCTACCACAAAATCACTCCGAATGCGCACGATACCGTCAGATGCTGGAATCTAAGCTCGGTTAGGCCTCGTCAGTGCCGGTATAGGTGACTAACAGGGCTTGCCAGGTGTGGTAGGCGTCAGGCTACGAGGTGTGACCAGCATAGGGCAGTGCGTGAGTTTTCTCTGGGGCCCTCCCATAGGAAGTTCAAGTTTATTTTGTCTAACCGGGTGAGAACTCCAGAGACCAGGATGCGTCTCATTTCCATGAGTGACCCCGGGGCATTAGTCTGCCATTTGGGGGGCAATGTCGCTACACTGCATATCATCCCAATTGAGTCATTTACGGGGAAATTTCTGAATTTTGACCAAATCGGACGCTGACGCCGTCACAACAATGGCCTGCTCTTGCGAATGGCGTCAGGGGATCGTTAACACCCACCGTGAAGCAGGCGGTGCGTCGTGTTCTTATTATTATGGCCATTACACAGGCGCAGTAATAACCAGGGCGGCCGCTGGATTGGAACCGCGAACCTCTGTAACGACGCGCGGCGACCGCGCTCCTGCTAGGCCGCGTCACCGACCCCAAAAGCCAAACCACTCATTCGCGAAATCGCTCAATCATTCCAAAGTCGGTAAAAATATCGACACAAACGGTGTTAAAATCGCTACAGCTTTCCTTCGTAGAACAACTGCTGTACCACGACTGTCTATCGCGAAGCTGTGCAGTCAACAATTCAAACAATGCTGCCCTTTGTCTGGCACGCTACACCGGCGGCACACCGGCAAGCGTGCTCATGCAGCCGATTTGTAAACCAGAGGACAACGCCGTACACAGAGGACTGGGGTACAGGCGGAAATGTGAAAAGGGTCTGGTTTGTGAATATCCATAGAGAATAGAATGGCGACCCATCGCGGTGCGCAAATAGCTGCACTTGGTGCAGGCGGCGAGTTAACCACACGGCAGATTTGCGGCGGTCGGTGATGGGACGCAGTGCCGTGAAGTGTGCCGGTCGCGTTCAACTCTGAACCCGTCCCGAACACCCGTGCGGTACGCGCCCTTGCGACTCTCACTCTCTCACTCTCTCACCCACTAGGACACTCACCCACTCACTCTCTCACCCACTCACACTCTCACCCACTAACGCTCTCACCCTGCCAGACTCTCACCCTCTCAGACTCTCACCCTCTCACCCTCCCACCCACTAGGACACTCACCCACTCACTCTCTCACCCTCTCACCCTCTCACCCTTTAACGCTCTCACCCTGTAAAACTCTCACCCACTCACTATCTCACCCTCTCAGACTCTCATCCACTAAAACTCTCACTCACTCTCTCACCGTCTCACCCTATCTCACTCTCACCCTCTCAGACACTCACCCTCTCAGACTCTCACCCTCTCAGACTCTCATCCACTAAGACGCTCACTCACTCTCTCACCCACTCACTCACTCACCCTCTCACTCTTTCACCCTCTCACCCTCTCACACCATCACCCTCTCAGACACTCACCGGTCTTGCCGACTCCCCCGGCTCCCAGCACCGCGATGCGCACGTCCCGCGCCGCCCCCCCGGGCGTCTCGGGGCTCGCAGGGCCCCCCTGGTGCTCCGCGATGGGAGCGAGGTACGAGTTGGCTCCGCTGCCTGGGCCAGACATAGCCGCGACGAGCCGCATGGCCCGGGGACCTGCCCTGCCCCCTCCTCTCTTGCTCCCTTGCCGTGCCCTGCCCCTTGTCTTGCCCCCTGTCCCGCCTTGACCTCCCCCTCCTGCCGCCGCTCGCCTCCAAACCGCGACCGCCCGCGACGCCTCCGAGCGCCCCAAGGTTGTCTTGCCGTGAGAGAATTCCTCAACTTCTGTCCAAAGTTCCACTTCGTTTTATCGTAGTGCCCGTGACACCGCCAAAACCACAAGCGCCACGACTCTTCACTCCTTCCCACGGTGGTGCATTCGGCGCCACTGTCCACGGACTTCTTTCCGCCTTGAAGACGAAGAACAGAAACGCATAACAAAAAACAGGTGTCTCTTCTTTCTTTTTTAACGCAGCGCTTCTTTGCCTAAATTAAAACGCGCCGGACGAGCGATGAATTCGCGGCTCTCGCTGTTGCGAAGCTTTAAGAAAAAGAAAGAACTACTTTATATTGCGGGGGATCGATGATGATGACGGCGGCGCTAGATATGAATTGGCGACGTTTCGCCTTCTTGTTGCTGAGCAAACTTTCACGAGTAAGTCCGGGACAGCCACCACCCCCAGCTCCGATTGTTGTGAAATGTGAGGCGACGGGAAATGCGTGGAGCTGCCTTTAAGAGGCTCGGCACACGGGGCCCGCCTCTCCCCCTGTCTCTCCCCAGCCAATGGCTTCTGCAACCCTCTCCTCCCCCACCCACGAGTCACGAATCCAGTTCCCCTCTGCTGCTCGCAAACCACGCCAATTTACGGTGCTTAGAGTGAGCTGGAAGCGCAAAGCGCATTTGTGTACGCGAAGCAATCTTAAATATGGTTTGTTTGGAGGGAGGATGGTTTGAGGAAATTCGGTTCAAACTAGTTGAGGATTTCAACATTTTCAGTCTTGAGTTGTATCATCTGCAGAATCGTCCCGTAATTGTAACTGACAAGTATGACACGTGTTTGTGTTTTGCCGAATGCACAGCGCAACATTTCATGTATGCATGCATAGTCACGTCTGTTATTGACCCAAGAAAGCCTCTCCGAGTTTCCAGATGCTATGGGGGGTGGGTGGGTGGAGGGATAGTGTGTCATGGGATGTTTGGCCAATGCCATTAATTTTGTTCGTGTCATTGTTTGTCTTAAACGTGGGAGGAGGAGACCAACGTAGCCAGAGAAACCCCCACTCGTGCACGGGGTACTCTCAACACGGCCATGTCATGGCCAATCTGGCAGTCGCACACCTACAACATCGGGCAAGCCCTGGTGGCAATCATCCATGTTAGTAATAACCAGGCTCAAAAGCTGCTTTGCTTCTGTAGTATGATGAGGATCGAGTTAAGTTTTGGGTCACGGAGTGGGAAGAAAAGCGGAGTGGGTTACTCGGAGAAAATTCGTACGGAAGGGGGAAACACTCAAAGCTCCGAACAGATGGATTCAGTAATTCGTATATGGAGTGCCATCTGGTTGAATAGTTAAGTCGTCTCTTAAAACTATGGTAGTATCCGCATTATGAGACGCACCTTTTTCCTTATATATGAAAGCTACATTTGGTGTGTGGTGGGTCATAAATTCGTGACACCAGGGCACACATTTGTGAATGCGTCTTGCTTTTCAGGGGACAAGTCTTATGATGCCGAGAAAAGGAAGCGTTGCATTTGGGGTATGGGTTTTAAGGGGTGTTCCGGTGGCGAGATGTTAACTCCCTCGCCTGGTATACAGGAGGTTGTGGGTTCGATCCCGACCTTGCCGCCTGTATATTTGGAGTTTGCGTGTCTCTCTCTCTCTCTCCATGGTCGCGTCGACTTTGTATACGTGTCATCCGGTGTTTCCCTTCACATTTAGCATTAACGGGCACCGAAGTGTAATTGGCTACGATACATTTCCGCATGATGATCCACTTTGTTGCGCTGTCATTTGTGATAGCCAGGTCGCTTATGTAGCTGTTAACAAACAAAAACCCCGACGTAGTTTTTGGTGTCAATTTAGAATGGCAGCCAGAGGAGGGAGCAAGCACGAGAGGACGTCCACCGTGGAGATGGAGTTACCGGATCAGCCCGCGCACGGCTGTAATGATGTGGGGGCGGTGGGGGCGAGCGAGCGAGCGTGAAAAGGGACTGAAAAAAATTAACCCGTAAAAACAAAGTTTTTCACTCTAAATCCTTGATATGCGTGGCGGCTAGAGTCCTCTCGTCCTCTGGCTTGAGATGGCTGCCACCTATGGGTCAGATGATTGTCTGCCAGCATTAAGCAATTGGTAATTAAATATTTTAAAAAAATTCCCTAAACAGTGTAAAAATTTTGAATTTTTTTTCACGAAAATTAATTGTCACGCACAACGAGTCTGTGTGGAAAATATCAGCTCGATTGGATCATGGGAAGTGTGTTAAAAAACGACCGAAATATTTGCACGGTCGTAAGCAAGCACGCAAGCAAGCAAGCGAACTTAATATAAAGGATTTAATAAGTATAACCCGTAAAAACAAAGTTTTTCACTATAAATCCTTTATATGCGTGGCAGCGAACTTAATATAAAGGATTTAAAAATATTTTCGCCTGTGGAGGACGCGGGGATCGATCCCGCGACCTTTGGCATGGGAAGCGAGGGCGCTACCAACTGCGCTACTCCGCCACGGCCTGTGGAGGGGTTACGCTCTGGGCTCTTACACTCTGACGTTCAGCCAAAGCCATGAATGCGTTGTATTTGAATATATGTAAAAAAAAAAAATTTGCCTAAAAAGTGTAAAATTTTGGGAATTTTATTTCACGAACAATAATTGTCTGGCACAACGAGTCTGTGTGGAAAATGTCAGCTCGATTGGATCACGGGAAGTGTGTTAAAAAACGACCGAAAGATTTGCACGGTCGTAAGCAAGCACGCAAGCAAGCAAGCAAGCGAACTTAATATAAAGGATTTAAAAAGAGCGACGTCGCTCAGCGGGCCTTACTTACCCGGTAAAATAAAAAAAAATTGTTCCCGAGTTTAGTTTACGGTCACAGTAAAGGGGGGAGTGGTTCGGGGCGGGTAGAGGAAAAGTAAAACGCTCAGACTCCGGAGGAGTGAGATCGACTCGGCGTTTTTGTCGTTGTCGTTGCTGTATTTATTCAAAGGGAACATTTTCGCACGCGGCGCTGGGAGGCCAAGGCAGCTGACTCACGCGAGTCGCTCGCAAGGAAGTTTGCGTAAATAACGCCGCGCGAACCCCCCTACACAGCGCAGGATTTTTTTCTGACACACGTTCGCTATAAAAAAAAACACGGCACTAAGATATACGCAAATACACACTCGCATTTGTGGGGAGCGGTTAGCGTGCTGCGCTTACGATTCCTGATCATGCCCAACACCCGGTGACGATTATCTGAACCGGCCCTGGGCCTCCCATAGGTCGACTCGGCCTCAAATGAGTACCTGGTGCGGTGTGTAAACATCGCTGCTGGGGAGACAAAGGCGGTCGGGCGTGGCCACCCCTCGTGTACCGTTCCGGCAATTCATAGGTGCTGCTCGCTAACGGCACTTGCCCCTACAGTCTGTTAAGGCTACACGGGGGATCTTTGTCTTCGTCTACATCTCATTAGTTCCGTTATTTAAATCGGGGCAGAGCCCACTCGACTGGCAAAACTCAAAGTCTGGGTTCGAATCCAGACTGTTCTACGCTTGTTTGTGCTAGTTTTATTTACCCCTGAAAGATGATGATGATCATGATGGTAATGATGACATGATAATGACGACACTCGGTCAAACAAGAATGGCATTTGAACTCAAGACGTCCTGCTGTTCTATTCAACAAACAGGATGTACGAATCGTGCAGCAGTAGTACATAGGGGGAGCGGTGGCGCAGTGGTTAGCGCACTGTGCTATGAACCCGACAACGACGAGGTGTGTTTGATTCCCGGCTAACATCAGTGGCGAGTGACCCAGCCCTGCCCCACCGCACCCCCATCCCCCCGGCAATGGCTCGCGACGTCGTCTTCCATAGAAGAAGAAGGAGCCCTGAACATAAAAGCGTCACCTATTTGCGTGTTCTTCCTTCACGGCCGTCTGATTGACGGACGCGTTGAGCACGTTGCCGTTGATCGATCGGGCTTGTTGTTGCCAGTGTGCCAACGCTGCATCGGCAAATAATCCGCGTCGCGTTCGATCTGCCTACTGCAACGTGGGGCGACTGGGCCCTGAATGGATCCGTCGTCAGCGCGATCGACATCTGTTGCCACCTGGTTGATGAGAGAAGAACGTGGACTCAACAACAACAAGAAAATCTAGATTTGAGGTTTTCGTGACTGCAAGGATCCATACTCGTTGGTCCTTTCGGTAAAGTCACGTGGGTGAAAAAAAAATACAAATAAAATCAAAATGAAAATAACAAAATTGAATCACGACGTTTCGGAAGCAACACAAGCCTCCGTCATCAGGTAGGACAGCTACAGCAAGAAAATTACAACAACAAAAACCCACGATACCCTCGGCGTCTGCTAGCCGCCGCTTCTCGCTCGTAGATTTTTATTTGTATTTTGTTGTATTTGGCCGACCGACAATTACGGTCACGAAGGAAATGAGAGGAGTTGGGAATTCGGAGATGACCTCTCACACTTCTCCCGGTGCGACGATGACCTTTGACAGCTCCGGTCAAGTGTGCGGAAGAGTATACAGAGTACAGAACATCACCGCTTTCCTTTAATAGCTGAGGGTATTTTTTAACAGTGAGTAACGAGTGAATTGGTCACGTAAGAAAATTAAATATCCTTTTAAAAAATTGCAAACACAGTATTCTACCCACATCACTGACATCTCACATGAGAACATTTGGCGTCACAGCAGCAGCAGCAGCCATCAGACAATCCGCTTCTGGACGAAGGTCCTCCGTGAAATGTCGTCTCGCGTTCATTCACCTCGTGCCTGTACGCGACGTCGCTTTGTCTCCACGGTGGCCGTACTCGAGACGATGGGACATCATCCCTCGTGGCGCCATCGTCACACCTGGCGGCATGTCCTGCCAAAGAACACCAACTCACTTTCACCCACAACTCACTTTCACCCACAACTCACTTTCACCTACAACTCACTTTCACCTACAACTCACTTTCACCCACAACTCACTTTCACCTACAACTCACTTTCACCTACAACTCACTTTCACCCACAACTCACTTTCACCCACAACTCACTTTCACCCACAACTCACTTTCACCCACAACTCACTTTCACCTACAACTCACTTTCACCCACAACTCACTTTCACCCACAACTCACTTTCACCCACAACTCACTTTCACCCACAACTCACTTTCACCCACAACTCACTTTCACCTACAACTCACTTTCACCTACAACTCACTTTCACCCACAACTCACTTTCACCTACAACTCACTTTCACCTACAACTCACTTTCACCCACAACTCACTTTCACCCACAACTCACTTTCACCCACAACTCACTTTCACCTACAACTCACTTTCACCCACAACTCACTTTCACCGACAACTCACTTTCACCCACAACTCACTTTCACCCACAACTCACTTTCACCTACAACTCACTTTCACCTACAACTCACTTTCACCTACAACTCACTTTCACCCACAACTCACTTTCACC